ATGCTTTCTTCACCACGAGTTTAACTGATGAGCATGCGCACTTAATATTTCTCAGGTAGCTTCCGCATGGCGAACGGAGACGCGATTTAATTACTGTACCCCGCAGGGACGACGTGTGGGGAGGCGGAGAGACTATTAAAAGATTAGGCGGTTTTTCTTTCATGTACGTCCGCCATTTTTAGGTCACCGGCTTTGTAAAGCCTGGCTTACTTCGTTGAGAATGCGCTCTTAGATACACACAATGGTCGTTCTATGAATAGTAAGCCACGTTCGGACATCTTTAAGTCGATAATATAAAGGCCCGTTTAAACGGGATTTAAGTTGGTTTTGTGTTCAAACGAACAGGCGAAGAAAGCAGAGACCGGCCGGAACTTAGGAGAATACCCACAAGTTCGTGACCGTCGTCTTGGTCATGGAATGGTCGTAGCCAGTTATAGGTGCATTACTTGTTGCTCTTTCCTGTGCTTACACGTACATCTTCTTCGTGTGAATACTTTAGATTTGAAAACACGGTTTGGATCTTTTTCTTGGCGGCCATCATAACGGTAAACTTTCAATAGTTTTCAAAAGTTTGAAGCACCAGTTAAACATAAAACTTTATACATTTACATGTTGTCCCATCTGGTTCGCAACTCGATATGGTTATTGCTGTTGGTTATTTCAGGTCCCTATCCTGTGTGCAGCCCGCGGGAAATTCAAGAATGTGTACAAGAAGAAATGCGTGAGTTTATTTATTAAGTTATACGATATTTCGTAAGAGTTTGCTTATCATATTAAAAACATTTAACTTGAATTGTTTTATTGATCACTGGGAGCATCAACAAAATATGCTATGAAAGTTTATGATAATTATATAACAGTAATCAGGAATGTGGGTAAAGGCCAAGTAGTTACCTTGACGAGATTTCACCTGATTTGACGTGGCTATTATCACTTTTAATGCAGTGGAATATATTATGGTGTCATTTTAGATGGAGGTCATGCGAATTCTAACAACGTCATTAGGATTAGTTGTCTTTGAAAATCATTTTGCAGAGTAACATGGCTGAAATAACAGAATCGCTCCGAGACAAAAAGAAAAAAACGCTCTTCTATACCAGTAATTATCTCTAAATCAGCTGCCACATACACGTTACCTTTACAGCTTCTCCGCTCTCGTATTCTTTTTGCTTCCTCACTTTCCTAGAGAGTTACCCGCAAGTCCACATCGGGTTGATACCTTAATGCAAATATATACAGTATGTATACGGTATTTTGCAGGTATCATAAACCAGGACTTTTCGAAGCATTGTTCTGGGTGCACTGTGCCGTGTTACAGTACCAACTACAACATACAGCTGTCTTACGTGGCCCTACGGAATGCTACAATGCACCACAAGTATGGGCAGCATATTATTCCATCAGGGTATAGCGGAGACTACGTACAGTATGTATCCAGTTTATTCATTTTTCTGTCGTTTTATTCTTTTTTTTTCATATATATACATTTGTTTTATATCTTTTTTGTATCTAAGTACGTACGTATATTTGTGATTGCTTGCTTGTGTGTGTAGTGCTAGTGTGTGTGTGTGGTTTTGTCTTTGAATGCATTTGCTGCAAAGAAAACGGATACATTTAAAGAATTATAAATATCCTACAAACAGCCAGGTTTACTGCATTTTATGATCAATATTTTTTCGGTTATATTCATCTCAATGACTTATGCGCCATAATTTATTATTTCTAAAAGTGTGTGCAGAAATATATGAATAGCGCAGTTACACACTTCAAAGATTTATTTATGATGAACAAGTAATAAAGATAGTGTCGCAACTAATACATTAATGACTTGCTGCATGAACATGAAGTACAAGCTGGGTCAACAAGCGTGGCTTCAGAACCATCTGTCAAGCGGTTTCAAACATACTCGACTTTGCATGTTAATTTTTGCCGCTGGCCCTCGGGGAGAAAAACTCATTGACTTAATTGACAGAAAATAATTGTCATGGACGGGTTCAAAAGGCAGCTCACATATATTATCCCCAATGTTTTAGAGTTGTGTGGATTGCACGTTTGCGTATCTGCAAACTATGGCAGTATTGCAGCTGATGATGAACTGCACGGGCGTCAGGTCGTATTGCCTCGTTTTGAGGTACGCGAATAATTATGAAATTCACATAAACTGTTTTATGTTGCAGGGACAATCTTCTGGCGCTTGATGTATATTACGAAGAACTCAACCTTGAGTCCATGGAACAAAAGAAGGCGGTAGAAGAGTCGGGACTATTGAGTAAGTTAAAAAAAAAAACGGTGCTATCATTTTTGGGGATATTTCACTTGTAACCAGTATATATACTATATATATATATATATATATATTATAGTTGATAATTAAGTTACACGTGAAGTTAAATTTAATATTTCGTCTTTAAGTTGCATTACTAGATTACAAGACATCTTTTAGTTCTCTTGATGCGATAGCTGTTAATGTTACATAAATGAATGAAAATGACTGTTTTCCATTAGAAATCAAGACTACACATCTTGTTATTCGATATCCTTGTCTTTTGTTTTAAATAGTAAGTACCCAAAGAAATATGTAAAGCTCTTTGTGTTTACTTTCAGGTGATATCGGAGGCCAACTGGGGCTATTCATGGGGTTTAGTGCACTAACATTTATAGAGTTTTTCGAGTATATCATTCTCAAATTTCGCAGACTGACACGCAGAAGAAAGCTCATTGAGCCTATAGTTTGAGGAGGGGTGTAAAGGAACTCAAAATGTTTGGTACCACACATAGGCTATTGATATAATATAATTAAAATTTACTTGTTGACTTAACAGCTGCAAAACTCATTGATTACAAAGAGTATAAATCGTCAAGATGTGTGGGGTATGATATAATAGCCTATAGCTTGCTGCACAGACATGAGTCAAATTTGAAGGTTTCTTCGCCATTTAAAAAATAAACTTTGATCCATACTACATACATGTACCTCAGCATCAATTCGGACAATAAAACATACGCCTGCATGTAATTCCTACAGGGAAAAACTATAACTATCCTGCAAAGAAATATAATTTAATAGAGCATTCGGCCATTGGATAAGCAGTAATTCCCACATGGGCAAAATATATGCATTTTATGATACAAACGCAATGGAACTGTGATATCGATCTTGAATTCACATATTTATTGGAAACGCCTGGAAACTTCGATCTTGAATATTTCGATAGTATATAATTCAAACGTTAGGTGAATTGCAAACTATGAGGCATGTTATTCAATACATCGGTGCACACATTAAAGTCTTTGTATATGTTGACCGTATGTACATAAGTGCACAGAAATTATTGTACGTATATATCCACACGTAAACCGGGGTACATTAGTACTCCGTCCCTGTGATCACGATATTTCATAATACTTCTCCTTATTTTATGGATATGTGCACACCTTTTCTACTGTCAGCAAAGTGGCCTTGCGTTGATCAAGTGAAACTGTAATATTATGTGACCTGTAACACTGTGTTCGTGAAGTATGTAGACTCTACGACAAATGCATAAACATTTTATGTCTCCTTGATCGAAAAAAGTTCAATATGTCGGAAAAAAGCATTTAAGTGACAAACACAAGTATGATGTTCGAAATAAACATTTTACTCTTGATTAAAAAATAAAATATTTGCGTTTTCACACCAGGCGGTTATGGTATTCAGCTGATACAACGCTTTGGAATACTATTTTTTAATTGCGGTTAGAGATTTAATATACATCTATATGCGGCTATTGGGTTTACATGTTCGATAGTACGCATGTTGTCTGCAAAGTCAGGTGATGAAGCGACCAATCGATGTACACGTCTGACTGAATATGAACACAATTACAAGATGCAGCCAATAGTCAGCATCCTCGGTTATCCTCGGTCTTCCTTTTGAATCCCACTGGCTAGACGGCTTCGTCTGCTGTTTCCTTTTTATTTCTCGGGTTGTGTTGATTTTCCTATACATAATGAAATGCTAGAATATAAAATAATAAGTTTGATCGTTTTGATATCTTGAAAGGATCTTAAAATAGTCATTTATTCCGGATGTTAGTTAATCTTAATGGAATGTCTGTTGAAGAAAGTTAATGCATGCGTAACTTACCGTACGTTTTGTGAACACCTTCCTCACGTCACATATCCTAAAAGTGAAACAAACGGCTTGTATACGTAGGTAAATACGGAAGTTCCATCCGTTTGAAGATGCGACACAACAGAAATCACTTACCGACATGACGCAGACTAATAGACTGAAAAGCAAAATACAACGTTATATGAGCTTTTCAATTGTTTTCTATTCAATTATGTGTGACAAATGTTTCATGCTATTGAATTACGTACCCCTTTAATAGATTTTTCCTGCGGATATGTAGTGCAATTGCAACAGCTGTTATAATTATAACCACAACGGCAACACTGGCTATGATAATACCAATGATATTGAACGGATTGTCCTCCTCCAATGGCTTGCTTTTGTGGGTCGTAAGTTCAGTTGTTGTGTCCACTGCAGTCGTTTCGGATTCAGTGGTTGCCTCTGTACTTGTCACAGGATCGGCGGAGGGAAGCGGATTTACGTAGACAAAAGAGACCGACACGACATTTGACACTTGTTATGATTGATTTCTGTCGTCCGTTGCCATTAACGCAATGAAATACGTGATGTTGTGATCAACGGTTTGGTTGAATTGGACAATGAAAGTCTCCGCTCCGCCTGCTGGCAAAGGAGAGTCGAGATTTCCTTGGAGGAGAGTTCCAGGTCATTCAATTCTAATTTTTGTACCGCGTTCCGATATATTTTGCAATGATTCAGTCATGCTAAATTATACATGGCACAAGGATGGTTTTATACTTTGTGTCATGGCTCATACTAGGTAACGTATGTTCCCCAGAAAAAAATTAAAAAAGTCTCATTTTGTCCAAGCATTTGGTGCAATAGGAAACAGTGTTTTCTGTTGCTGACCGAAATATATATTGTGATTACTTGATGGTTTGACATTTCTGATATAAAATTTGGAGCACGAGGGTAAAATAATTGATTCAATGCTTATTTTACTGTCGGTAGTGCGTATTTTCCCCGTTTTTTTTTAATATTCAGTAACAAGCAAACTAAAGTCGCTCAAAAACAATTAACTGCTTTATACAGAAGATTATTATATTTTTATAACTGCATACAGGAGATAAATCACAGAACATAAACCAGTGATAAATGAATTTTCAAAGTGAGTAAAACCTTTCACCGCGGGACGTTTTGCATTTGTGACAGGAAAGTACATCCTCCATTTTTGGAATAGACGATGAATAATTATTTATTATTCATGGTTCCAGGAGGGTGAAACTGTGATACAAACTTCTTCATGTGGGACCCTAAAATAATCAAACACAGCTTGCAATCGGTGCATTAAATATATTTGAGAGCATGCATGTGACCTAAATTGCACTTCTAAATTGGATTTGGGGTTAAGGGTCCTCTTTCAGAGTAACGACCCTTTGGTTTTATAGGATGACCACCCTTAAATAAACCGTCGTGCAACTGTCTATCATAATCCAGAGTCAAACAGAGTATAGATTACCTAGGGAATAAGAAAAAAAATTCAGGCCCGTAACGTCTAGCCTATTAGCAGCATTCCGACTGCGTAATCATAAGGAACAAGGCCTTGAAAAGGCTATAATATGATAAAAGTAAGCATCACGTTTTCATGTCAGTCTGGTATATTTACTGCAAACAGTTAGTGTAGCAAGATTGGTCACGTGCCAATCTTTTCTCTCTTTGATAATTCACATGTATGTAACACATTCATTGTATATGTTTCGCCTAAAAGCTGGTGTAAAGGAATAATATATTTTTTGAAGCAAAATGCTTAGGAGAAATATTCAGTAAGACCGCATTTGAATTTACAAATTGGGCGAGGAAAATATTTAAAAATAATTTTTCACATTTCATATTTGAATATGAAGATTCTTGAAATTATTTTTTTTACAATCTATTTATATACAGATTCACTTTTCGAATTGTGCACAATTTATTGTTATCCTACATGTGTCTCATGAGACAACAGACGCTGTGATTGGGTCTTCTATCGATTTATTCAACCTATAGATTTAGCATACAGTGGTAAATGTAATAAATTAAATGTTCATTAAAAATGCTCTCAAGAAATGTTTTCCAAAGTTAACACATACATGTTCCTTTGGTAGTCATGCACAAAAGTGTATTTTAGAGTATCGAAATGGAAAGACGGCAAATTGATTATAAAAACATTTTTCCTATTACATTATAATGACAACAATCAATTTTGGTCAAACACAAAAAGCAACCAACAGTCGTATGGGTATGAATCATCTGTTTATGATTGTAAGCACTTAAAACACTAGCAAATCACCACAGGTAAAATGAGAAGACCATATTGTTCCATATCTAAAATAAGACAGCTGTATTTACCACTATGTATATCTTAGTTAATGATACATAGCTTAGAATACTTGTTAAATATAATAATATAATATAATAAGGCTATTTAAAATCACTGCATCCAAAAGTAAGACGCCATGCAGAAATATAATTTGCAATAAGATTTTTTTAACTCAAAAGGTTTACATAAAGATTAAATTCAATTCAAAATAAACACGAATCTCTTTAGTGATATGTGATTTAATCTAAAGCAATGTAAAAGATAGCTGGCATTGAACCGAGAGTGCACACACACACACACACACACACACACACACACACACACAACGTGAATAATCATTCGTTTACGCAATCACTATTCAACGCAGTAATACTATGTACAGCGTGGAACATGCACAGCAAAATAAGCGATACGTAAACCGCATAAAAATCAAGACGTGTGCACATTAAACCATTAGTACGTCAAGATTTGTAGCCAAATAGCGCCTAAAAAAACAATTCTTACTACAATCAATACTTTATCTGACGATTGCCAAAATGTAATCAGCCAAGACAAAGGACGTTTGACAATATACAAGGCCGTGCTGCATGGACAAGCACTTTCATGGTTTCATGATAAACCAGGCTGTAATCCCATCTTAGTAGAAGTTGATGTGTCTGTAAACAAAACGAGAGGCGTGCTTCGCAGAACCTTGTAGAATACCCAACTTGAGATGGCCTGGGTTATTTTTGGACTGATTGTAGTTTCATGTACGAGTAGATAGGCTGAATGAATAAGAGTAAAAAAGTAAATGTGCACAAAAACTAAATAATTTATACATGGCTTTGATGCTTATCCACTTAAAAAAACAGTGGTAAACAAAAGGAAAAATTGACCGACCATTATGGAAACCTACACAAAATTAAGTGTAAAATAAAATGTTTTAAGCCTATTTGTATAACCTGAAAAAAATGCTACATCTACAAATTCATGTTCTACACTGAAATGAAATGAAAAAACTACGAATGCAACTGCTAGCTGCTTCTGTAACATCGATGCTTGCTACTTCTACTGCTGCTGCTAATGCGCCATGAATACTACTGCTAAAACTTCTACCCCCACTCATGCTACTGACTACATGCAGTGTCCTTTATTGCAATCAATACTGTGCTGCTACTTGAGTAACTACACAATAATCTTGTAATTGTTGTTGCTTCCGTTCAGGCTGTTTCCATTCCTTCTTATGCCACTGTTTTAGGTACTACTGATATACTGCTATTACCTGTTCTACTCTCAGATGCTTTTCTTTTGTATGCAATCACATGTGTCAAATATTATAAGTGAAAACAATAAAGGGATTTCCTTATGATCCAAAAAAAAAGAAAAAAGAAAAAAGAAAACACATGCATTTACTAATTGACTGATCGCAGTACTAAAACTTAATAAACTAAACAAAATATGTCGTTTCCACCCCTTTCAGTCGCATGTTTACTTCCATGCAAAAAGTCTCTCCTTCTCCCACACAGATTTTACGATGTCCAGAAAAGACAGCCACACGGGCATGCCGTCCTTGGACACGATTCTGTTGATCCATGGCGCCAATTTGTACAGGAACCACATAGGCTGTAGAAGACGATGGGCCCAGACTGGTGAGAACGCCTCAGTGTAGCACGATGTCAGGACGCCATTAACAACAATGGTGCCACTCTTGGTGTGAGGGTTGTACAGTCCTTGCAAAATCTCCACTCTGATTTCAGTGACGGCTGAAATCTTCGTGGTGCCATTCTCTGGAATGTAGGTGCAAAGGGCATCGTCGACTTTCACGTTCCTCGCAGGTACCATCGCCATCTTCCCATCTTGACTTTGAACATACAGGTAGTGACCCGGGCTGATGGATAGCTGCCTCTTGTTCTCAGTCGTGAATATAAGGAAGGGACTTTCTGCATTGGGATCAGCGTGACCAAACATGAAGACCCTTTGATAGTCCAGTGAACCATCTGGATGAACAACTTGAACTTCATCTCCCTGCTGCAGATATTCCATCTTCAGAACATCTCCGTCTGCGAGGATGCAAGTGGCATCTTTTGGGAAACATGCTCCAGCCTCTATGGCCTTTTCTCTAACTTCCGGGGATACTTCGTCGATAACCTCCTGTTGTTCGTGTTTGGGAAGTCTCCTAAACATTTCAACCAATCCATCCACAGAATAATCTTCAACATACTGCGATGACCGTGTTTCCAGTGCATTTCTCATTTCTTCCAAATGTTCCATTCGTTCTTCATTTTCTCTCTGCCGTAGAGCATCTAAACATTCTTTTCTCTTGGCTTCTTCTTCTGTTGCCCTTTTAAATTCTTGAAACTGTTGCTGCATGGCTTGGGTATTTTGGTCTGATTGTTCTTTTTCCTGTCGCAAAATCTCATTAGATTTCCTTTCACCCTCAAACATTATGTTTAATTTTTCTAATTCTCTTTCCGTTTTCGTAAGTTTTTCTTCAAGTTTGGTGGTTTGGTTTGCTTTTGCGTCTAAGGCTTGGATTGTCTGTGCTGTCAGCTTTTCATCCTCCTCTTTCCGTCGTTGTAGTTCTTCTAAACGTCTCAACATTCCTTCGTTTTCTCTCTGCCTTTCAGCTTCTAACATCTCTATCTTCTGAGATTTTTCCTCTCTTTCCTGTCTCCATACTTCAAACTGTTGCTGCATAAATCTTTTGTATCTGTCTGCTTCTTCTTTTTCATATTGCAAACATCTGTTTTTTCTTTCTTCCTCTTCCAAATCTAGTTGCAACTCGTTCGCACGCCTTGCATCTCTCTCTAACTCCTCCTGTCTTCTTTCAAACGCCCGTTTTTCTTGCTCTTGCTTTTCTTTTATTTTTCGAAGGGCATTTGCTGCAATTTCGAACAATTCATTTGTGTACCGTTCACTAGCGTTCTTTGATACCAGTTTTTCGGCAACATCTAATAGTTTTCCTTGTTCGACTTTCAAATCTTCAGCTGTATTGTCACAGAATATGAATCGTTTCCAACATTTTTCAAATATTCTCTGAAAAGTTTTATTTTCTATTTCCATCATATAATCAAGCTGCCCGGGGGCTTCACCGTCTTCCCTACTGTTCTTGTAAAGATCGGCATGTGTAACTACAATTATAGCAAACTTGAAAAGTGCTTCACCGAACAGTTTTTCTAGATGAACAATGGCATTGGCCTCTTCCTCTGTAAATTTCTGTCCGTACTTCAAAACAATGAATACAACATGGTAACCGTCTGGAGATAAAACCATCGATTGTGTTATTTTCTCGAATACCTCCTCAATTGATTGCTTTGTATCAAAAACTCCAGGAGTATCCACAACAGTCAAAGTATAATCTCTGACACGGCGGTCTTGTCTTTCACACGCTCCTGTGACTGAATTTGGGGAAAGTTTATGACAGAAAGCCTTCTTATCGTTGAGCAAAGTGCACCCGGTTCTGCTTTTTCCATTCCCTGTCTTTCCAAGTAGGAGGATTCTTAATTTTTTGTTCGTCTAAAAGTCAATAAAAACAACTTGTCGGTGTCATGTACGTTGTACTTTGCCATTGCTATGTTGTCATTTTTATTTTAAATAGCTCAATAAAGTACTGATATACATACATGCTGGGCAACGAAAATCAAAAAGGAATGGCTTTTAACGATTATCATATATACTTTCTTTCTTTCCGATCATATTATTTTTATCACATTGCGCTCATGTCATTCGAACTTGTTTCGTACACACATGTATATTACCTGCAGTCAAGAGAAATGTATACTTACGGGTGGTAATGAACGTTGCATGGTGCGTTCTGATGCTGGGGGAGGCGCTGAAGTAGTTCGCCGACTTCGCGTGTGAGATTTCTCAAACAAACGCTTCACTCTGGTAGACGATGGTTGGCTTACTGGGTGGATATTTGCCGGGTTGGTCTGAACATCAGAGTGCGGAGTTTGTGGTGCAAAGCGGTTGTATGTACCTACTGCTTCCACTGGTAAGAGGTCTTCAGGTGCGTGTGAAATAATGGGTGATGTTAACGAAAGAGAAGAATCCAATTCATCTGAAATACATCATAAATTGATTTCAGTTTACTATAAGATTGGCATCCTCGTCGGCTTTAAAGATTAAAGCCAATAATAAACACCGTACAAAAAAACCTGAAAACAATGCTAAATATTTAAACTTATGCAAAAAAAAAAAAAAAATTATCAGCACTATCATCCCGCGGGTAAATCTAAGTGTCATAAAACCTTTTTAAAAGATATATAGAGAGAGTCAAATATTATGTCAATATTATGTTAGAGTACGCACTTCAAGCTGGAAAAAATCCAAAAACATCGTGTCAGAAAAATGTGATATTCTCAATTGCATATCTTATGCTTACTCTTATTATGCAGTGGGTACGAGTAACTTCATGCTTATATGACCTGCATATAGTTATGCACCGTGTTTAGTTCGTCTATTTCTTCTTTGTACTATAACGCATAAGCTTTCAGATTCGGCAGATCGAATGTTGGGGAACGGTCTTTATAAAAAAAAATGAATCAATCAATCCCATTTACATTTGACTATGGCTAAGTATGTTAAATTCACCTTGAAATATTGGCGACGAACGCCAACGTGACGTGATATTCAGGCATCAGTGCCAACTATGACTTAAGAGATTTAATATCCAGAAGTGTGGCCTCTACACTGTACAAACAGTGGTTAGCATTTAAACACATACAACAGACGTTTAGCACCTAAATGCATTTGAAATATGTGTAAAAGGTAAACACGTATAGCTTTTCAAGCTTCTGACAGAAGAAAATGCTAGACACGTTTGGCAGTGTTACACGTTTAACTATATGTTTAGCTTCACTGGTACATGTATATGATTCTATAGACTTGACATGTAATATGGATTTTTTTTCAAATCATTTTTCATCAGTTTTTTTTTCCTGTTTTACTAACTGATGAATGAAAATCATCGTGTTTAAATGACATTTAATAATCTCTTTGACGTCATTGTGACATCAGTTCGTTAATTGAATTCGCCAGTAAAGCAAACAAAAATACAATGCCTATTCTAATTCATACGAAAAGCATTAAAACGACATTTCGAATCTCAATGTTTTTCAAATTATCTTAGATTAAAGAGTTACAAGCCCCACAAAGGACCCTCATGTCAGTGTTTAGTCAGAGCAAAGATCGCTGTTACGCCTGACCTCATATGGCTGCTACCAGGGCTCTTACGCGGTAAGGCATTCCTTGGGATAGGTTTTTAGCGTTTAATCTGGAATAACATTCGAGGCATCGGTCAAAACTTGTCCAATTTGGTTCCGTTTTGTTGTAGGACATGTAGGACATTGATTCGGTAAGTAATGACCCACCTACATATTGTTTATGTGGTTCAAATACTGCGATTTTGATAACCAAGGTAGCTGCTCACTCCCTTGGTTCTGTACTTTATCTATTTAAAGTGCTCTGTGTAAACCGGCAATCGAATTGTGCAACCTAAAAATGTTCCTAAGGTGTCCCCTATCATATGATAGTCAAAAGTGGTTCCCAGATTATTCCTTTATTTGATCTGGTTCAGGTTTTTACCGATGACTACCATTGGTGCTTTGGCACCATTGTGGTATCCATATTATGAGGCTGTCAATCACCCTAGTCGCTTTAGATGCGGCATGCGCTTATTCTATGTCCGCTTCGGGATGTCTGTAAACTATATTTTGACTATTTAAGCGGTACAGGTGAAATCTGACCTCAATAAAGATGTCTATTTTCTAAAAATCTATTTTCTATTCGCCCTATCTTATGATCACGGTCTGTGCCCTGAATATCCCGCGGCGTAATTACTGGCAGCGCGAGCCAGTTACTATAAGTTACTATAAGTAACTGGCTCGCGCTGCCAGTAATTACGCGGCGGGATATTCAGGGCACAGACCGTGATCATAAGATAGCGCGAATAGAAAATAGATTTTTAGAAAATAGACATTCCATGTGAACGAAGCCTAAGTGTTGCTAGCACACTACTAGTTTAATTTGGTATCAGTTATTTAATTCAATATGAAGTGTTTCGTAGTCAAAAATTGAATTTGATTAACGTGCATAAGCATCTGCATTGTTCGTCAGCATTATCAACAATGATCTCATAATTCTTATTGCAGATAGTATTTATAAATTATGAATGATAACGGCGGCTTGGCCAAAAATTTTGAAGCTTAAAAATGCTCCGTATGTAAATTTCCATCCTCGCTACCTGTGTAAAAAATAAAGTTTAAAAGTAACAAAGAAAGCAACATATATATAGAACAAACTGAAGTGTAGCCTCAATTACCAAAAATATTTATTTGATATGGACAATTGCCTTGAACCAGTCTTAATTTATAAACATTGTAAATGACACATTCTCCATCGTCACCGTTGAATTTACATTATTATTTTACAGCAATAATATTATTTAACAATCTTATTGTTTAGGCCTGGTTTAAGTTTGTTTAAGAAATGATAGCCATCGTGTTTAACAGTAGATTGCCAGCTTTTGTAAGATCACCCCTCCTCTTTTAACCGCTGTCATTCATAGTTAATTGCCTGTACTTTATATAGTGTGATCACACTGTCAGTCTTCCCCCTGTTGCACGCTGGAATAAAATTGTCCTTGTGCCACGGTCACTGCTCGGTATTTTTCCTATTCTGTTTATTTTATAGACCTTTTCACTTATTTTAAAATATTTTCATCTCGTTTTCCATTGTGCGCTCTGAGAAACGGATGATTATTTCCCACAACAGAATAAGTTTGAAAGCAATTTGTCAGCTCATAACTATGACATAACTGTGACTTTGTTATATATATAAGGGGGCGTGAGTACAGAGTAAATACGTTCATGGAGCATACGGATTGTCGCGCGAACTATAGGCACAACCAGTAGACTTCACCTAAGCGTCCGAGCCTTGGCTGCACTTTCAATAGTGATGGTATATATATATA